CAGGGAGCCCGATGCGGGGCTTGATCCCAGGACCCTGGGATCATGACCTGAGCTGAAGGCAGACGCTTAACGACTGAGCCACCCAGGCGCCCCAGGAATTAAGGATCTTGTGCTGCCTTCTTCCTCCTCATGTCAGTAATGGGCAACCTCAGGAGTGATTTAGTATCTGCAATTAATTGTAGGCAGACACTACCTACAATGTGTGCAGTGAGATGGTTTATGCAAAGTGCATAGCATATTGTGGCACATAATAAGTATAAAATTAACACTTATTATTAACACTAATAAGTGTTAGCTGCTGCTAACAGCTCTGTGCCTCACAAGCTCTCTACATATCCTCTCTCATCCTCAGAGCAACTTTGTAGAGAAGGATTAAATGTGTACATTTTAGCAGACCTAAAAGGGGAGGTCACTTACCCAAGTTGCACAGCTTATAACTGTTAGTATCAGGCTGCTTTATTGGGCAGAGCCCTAGACCAAGCCCACGTGTTCTGGTCCTGCCTTTGCCATTTATTCCCGCAGAAGTTTCTAATGTGTGTCCCATACCCCACCTAGGAATGCTCCTTTTCCCTCCAGGAGATTTTAAAGTAAGGGACAGGGCTAATGCTGCAGATTCTGAGCTGGTCTGGGGCTACAACACCCTCTGTTGGAGAAGAGGTCCCCAGGAGTTTGTGCAAGGGCCAGGGAGTCCCTCTGCCTGACAGAAGAGGCATCTATCCTCTTGGTGATAGAAATATCCTAGGCCTAGATGTCAGAGCCTGCCTCTCTCTTGATCTTTTTTTTTTTTTCCTTGGCCCCTGCTTTCCATGTGATCTGAGGGAAGTCATGTCCCCTCTCTGGGCTACTTATCTGTAACCTCTGGGGGGTTACACTAAATGTAGTTGTTTACCAGTCCAAAATATGTGGACTTCTTGCTGGGTACCCTCGATCAAGTGGGAGGAAGGGGTGGGGAGCTGTCAGAGGGACCCAGGGATGGCTTCTCCCAGAGGAGGGCCAGAGGGTGGGGAACAACCACAAGACAATCACTTCTTTTCCCTGATGCATCATGGGTTAGTGAAGGGCAAACACTAAGTAACCACTGAAGGTCCTCCCAGCTAATGGTATTTCAGGCAGCAGTGACAGGGTGTTGGGACAGATGTCTGCCTGGGGTATGGATTTTGCTGAGTCCTTCAGACCTTACCTCAGCCTGCCCACAGGATGTGTTTTCTCCTTAAATTCAAATTGCAAACCAACGTCTCCTCCCCAACAGGAGTAAACTGGACTGCAATGCCAAGCAGTGGAGGTAAGGAGGGGCTGAGACAGAGGGGAGGGAAGTCTTCTATTATGAAGGTCTCTTACCTCTGATCTCTAACCTCTGATCCCTCCCCCCAGGCTTTTTGCTGATATCCTCAACGATGTAGCCATGTTCCTCGAGATTATGGCTCCCATATATCCAGTCTTTTTCACCATGACCATCTGTACCAGCAACCTGGCCAAGGTATCCACCTCTGGGGCACCCCTATACCTGCCTTGGTGATGCTGTGTGTGGGCTTACCTGGGGCCCACAGGTGAGACCAGCCTGGGCCCTGTGTTCAAAGCACTTGCAGAAAAGTGAAGAAGTTCAGATTTTTTTCTACTCGAACTCAACCATATTTTCTGATTCTCCTCCAGCCAAATAGTGCCTCACGTAGTCTAAGACAGTGTCTGAAACCACAGGATTGGTGAGGAGCTCTGAGCTGAAAGATAGAAGAGGTGCTCCAATGTCAACATCTTGGGACCAGCTCCCTGGCTAGCTTTCATTCTTTCAGGAAAATATTTATTGAGTGCCTACTGCATGTTTGGCATAAAATATAGGCCCTCCCATTTTTTTCTTTGAAGAAAGCTGCACATAATTAAACAAATGTTTATAACATTGTAGCTACAGGTATTCCAGATGAGAAGTGTAGGGGGCTACAAGAGGGTTGAGCAGGGATTCTGGCCTAGTCAAGGGATGGGCCCCTTCCCTAGGCCTGGGTCCTGAAGAATTGAGTTTAAGGTGAAGGGTGGATGTTTTTGAGTAGAAAGAACAGTGTGGGTCAAGGTCCAGGGGCAAGACAGCATGAAGTGGTTGTGAGGCTGGAGGGTCACATGGGGTGAACGTGGGCTCTTCCTCTCTGCCAGGCTGCTCACCCTCACAGTTCCTTCAGGTTGGCCGCATCCAGGTGAGGAAGCTGAGGCATAGCAAAGTTCAGCAAAGAGCTTAGCCTGTCTTCACCAGAGGGTTAAGTACCTGGCACAGAGCAGTGACTCAAGAAGACATAAGATCCATCTCAAAAGCCCATCTATCTGTTCAAAATCACTTCAGAGCAGTGGCTCTCCACAAGGCACTAGTGACATTTCAGATACAACAGTTCTTTGTGGTGGATTACATTTAGCCCAGGTACCAGTCCCTGGCCCAGGCACACTGCCCTGAGCACCCCCTCCAACTCCAGGGCAGGAAACACCAGAGAAAACCAGGGCTGTAGCTGTAGACCAACGATTGTGACCTCTGCCATCTGTTTGAAATTATGCATTATACTTTGCCTTTGGGGCCTCAGTCTCTTCATCTGTCAAATAAAGGAGTAGGATAGGGCCATGAACTTTCCCTGACCACCTCCCACCCTCTCGAGTTCTAGTCTCAGTGACTAGTACCTCCGTATCCCAGGTACACTGGTCAGAAGCCTGGCTGTCATCCATGCCTTCTCCCCGCCCACTGTTACTTTCGTGTTCCCTTCAGCTAAACCTCCATCTGGTGGTTCCTTGTTGCTGAAAAAGCATGGTTGCTTCCTAGGTAGTCTCCCTGCTTCCATTCTCACCTCTCTTCATTACTTCTCAGAGCAGCCCATAATCCTTTTAAGAATGGAAATCAAATCCGGTCACTTCCCTGCCCTCATTGCTCCTTAACAAGGTCCACATGATCTGGTCACTCCAGCCTCATTTTGTACCATATTCCTCTTAACCTTTGAACAAATTATTTCTTCTGCCTGCGTGACAACTTGTTTATTTATTGTCTATTGATTTATACACTTCATGAGGGCAAGGGTTATATCTGAATTCTATCACAGCACTAAATCTGTGCCTGGCATCTAAAAAAGATTTGATAAATATGAGATGGATGACAGTGATCAGTGACCCTCATTGATGAGTTCTACCATCCTAGATCTCAGGGATTGAGGAGGCCCAGGTGTCCTGGGAGGTCAGGGCCATCACTGTGGGTTTTGAAGTGGCCTGGAAGACTTGACTGGGCCTCCACTGGGACAGGACGAGAGTGGAGTTAGTTACAGGCAGAATGGAAGCATAAAGTTGGAAACCAGACTGGGCCTGGGAGCTTAGCAAAGGGGCAGGTACAGCCAAAGTAGAAATTGGGGGTTGGAGAAGTTGTGGGCTAAGAACAGTGTTTGGGCCTCCACCTTGGGGAAATAAATGGAGTTCCTTGGGACTAGGCCACAGGGAGGTGTGACAGGCAGGGCTTTAGTTTTCTCCAGGAATAAGAGGGGAGGTGGATCTAGTGGAAGTGTGGGGATGAGAATGAGATACCCAAGGACAGCATTCAGGGTTTTGCTGTTTGGTCACCTGATGCCTGGTTTTCTCAAACTGCTTTGAGTCATTTATTTGGCTCAGCTACAGACGTGCCTATGTTGCCACAGCACGTGGCCATTCTGACCTTCCTTCTCCCTTTCCCTACCTAGTGCATTGTGAGCGTGGCTGGCGGGGCCACGCGGGCTGCCCTGACCATGCACCAGGCCAGGAGAAACAACATGGCTGATGTGTCAGCCAAGGATAGCAGCCAGGTGAGCAGCTGGAATTGGGGTTGGGGGGAGTCGGAGCAGGGAGGCAGGCCAGGCCATGATTTGGGAGTATGGAGAGACGCACCTGAGTGCTCCTGAGGGTAGGGTTGGGAGACCGACACACAGGAAGAAATGTCGTGCTCCCTGCTCCGACTCACATAGGTAGTCAGGTTGAGGGCGGCATGAGTTCTAGGGGCAAAAGTCCAAGCTGATCATCTCAGCCCCTTCCCACTGCCTGTGTGGCCAAGAGTGGGCCCTTGCCCTGGCCTTCGCCCTCTCTGGGCCATAGCCCCAATCTGGGAGGTGGATGTCTGACCACGTGAGGCCCCATATGTTAAAGCACTTGGCAAGTCAAAAAGTGCTCAGCGTGTGAGGTAGCTGGGGTCATTGGCCAGAGGTCTCCACTTGACAGTTTCGTAGGCCTTTTTGACCCAGCCCCTCACCTGACCAGGGCATCCTGAAAGGTGGGGACCCCGAAGGCTAAACTCTACAGGTATTGGATCCTGCCAGGCTCCTGTGCTAGGTACTTATGTGTATTGTGGTGTTTAACTCTCACACCAGCCCCAGGAGGGTTATTATTATTATTATTTTTTTGGGGGGGTTATTATTATTATTATCCCTATTTTACAGAAGAGGAAAATGAGGCCCAGGTTAGTCAGAAGTGTGACATAGTTTGGACACTGAAGCAATTTAGAAACTTCTGTCCAGTCCTACACTCTATCCTTCTCTTAAATAGTTCTGCTCAGTTTCTAGAGAGAAATTTTTTAAAATTTAAAATTAACTCCTTTCAACAATATTAACAGAAGCTCAAAAACATATATATATATTAACACCAGCTAATATTTATTAAGCACTAACCGTGTGCCAAGTATTTCATTTATATGAACTCATTAAATCCTTACAGTGGTCTTATACAGGAGGGACTCATTGTTGCCATTCTACAGATGAGGAAATAAGTCATAGCCTCAGTCCCCCTGAGTACCTTTGGACACATCCCTTCTCTCAGGAAATGGTTGGATTAATTCTTCCCCATTATGTCTTCCGTAGGTTATTAGGAAGGAAGAAATGAGTACAACCCAGGACTTGTGCTTTAGGATCTCCCAGCTCCATGCCTGCTGCCTCTCACCTCCTCTCTTTCTAACCCCCAGCCCTCCCCATACCCCCAGGCTGTGTTTTCCAAGCCCCAGGGCTCCCTCAGTCTGCAGAAACAGGGACACATCACAGGGGCAATGCAGGACATATGCTCAGTCCTGCGGCAGGCCCCTGCTTTCTACTGATGTTGCTTTATTGCCACTTGATGGGGCTGCCGGAAATGACTCTTCCCACCTGAGGGAGAGGAGGTCCTTCTGCTCCTGCACAACCAAGACCTCTAATCTCCTATTTACCACCTATTTACACCCATTGCTCTTATTTCCACAGCCCACCCCCTTGCCAGGACAGCTGGGTAGGGAGAGCTCTCCCAGCCTCAAGCCCGCTTTGTGCCAGGACCAGCTCTCCCTCGGACCCCAGTAGTCAGGGGCGCCAATCCAGACTCTTCCTCCCTCATGATGAGTTGGGGACAGGTGGCCTGGTGTCTGGCCAGTCAGGCCATCTCAAGCCATCAGAGAGTTCTGATAACATTGATTCTCAAGGGAAGAGGTTTGGATCTTGTGCCTTTCTTCCTGAGTGGCTCCTTGAACCCTTCGCAAATGTGTCTGCCAGTTTTTCTATACCAAGGGGCTGAGGGGGATCAGTCTTTTTAAACCACCAAATATAAGAACTTCCCCATTCCGAGTACATTCGCTTGCCTGAGTATAGGGCTGCTCAGAGGACTCTTGCAAAACAAAGACATGTTCCAAGGGCACTGTATCTACCTAGACAGAAGCAGCTGGTATCTTAAATGATAGCTCACTCATTAAAAACTTAGTAGGCATCCTCATCAGTGTAGGGAGCCCTGGGAGGAACTGGGGCAGGGAGGAATGTGGTGAAAGGCACTCAAGGATATTCAGCCTGGCCTGAAAGGAAGCTCTCCAACTCCTAGCCCTTCTGCCATTTTCTAGGAGACACTGGTAAACCTGGCAGGGCTCCTGGTCAGCCTCTTGATGCTTCCCCTGGTGTCAGCTTGCCCTAGGTAAGACAGGATCAAGGGCAGGGAGGAGGTGCCCAGCCGGGCCTCTGCCCCTGTTGACCACCCCACTCTCCCACCCAGCTTCAGCCTCGGTTGTTTCTTCTTCCTCACCGCCCTTCACATCTACGCCAACTACCGGGCAGTCCGAGCCCTTGTCCTAGAGACCTTGAATGAAGGCCGGCTCCGGCTGGTCCTGAAGCACTTCCTTCAGAGGGGAGAGGTACTTGGCCCCGCCTCAGCTAATCAGATGGAGCCACTGTGGACAGGTGACCCAACCCCTTGGTCTCAAGTACTGTGTCTCCCGGTCTCTTCCCTGTCTGGGCATCCTGACTCCAGCTTCCCACAGGTTTTTGGCCGTCTCTGTCTCTATCCCTGGGGGTCCCCCTACACCGCTTGATCTCCAGGTAAGTGGCCCAGTGTCTCCTACCCACCTCTGCTGCCACCCCCGCCCCATACATGCTCTTTATTCCGATTACACACGGGCCTCACCTCTCTATTCTAGGTTCTTTATTGCCACGGACCAGACTTGGGGTCATCATGGGTGCTTGAGGGCAGCAGGGATGTGACGCAGAGGAGATATAAGGGATACATTTGTTAGATGCAGGAAGAAAAGAAGGATGGATGTGGCATGCATGGGTAATGGCTGAGAGAGATGAGAAGGGGGTGAAGGACAGTTCAGCTGAGCGAATGGTTACTCCTGCTTTTGCTTTCTCCTCCCCCACTCCACTCTCTTCTTTCCTTCAGTGTCTTTGAGCTGCAACAGCTGGTTGAGGGACACCAACAACCCTACCTCCTTCGCTGGGACCAGTCGCAAAGTAAGTGTGCCGTGCTCTTCCAGCCTTAGATTCACCCTTCTGGGGCCAACTTCTCATGCCACCAGCTCCAAGGCCTCAAGCCTGGGCAATTTAGAGGCTGCCTGGTGTCCTGAAGGGAGCTCTAGACTAAGACCTGGTGCATTCAAATTATAGCTGCATGCCCCAATGAAATTCACATTGTCCCTGTGTAAAATGAGGCTGACAATACCTGCCTTATTGTCTGTGTGTTTTTATAAGAATCAGAGAAGGCGATTATGTAAAGCAATTTATGTATTGCAACGTACTCAAATAAGATTATGACCTTTGGTTACCCCGGGAGAACTTTTCTCTCCCATCCAGAGTCACCTGTTAAGGAAACGAGTACTAGAGTTTACCGGTCTGCTGGTTGTGTGCTAAAAGGTGCTTATTCTTACTAGACATGCAAAGTAAACCCACCTCAGTGGGCTCCTATAAAGTTATATTTGGAAATTGGGCATTTCAGTTTGGCCAGAACATTGGGACAACAGGAGATGAAGATGGAAGGGAAGTGGTGAAAGATAGCCTCCATCCATGCCAGGCTAAGGCCTCAGGGCAGACCGGGATGAAGCAGGTAGGTTTGAGGGTGTTTAGGGAGGTGGCCCTTCCCTAGTACCAGTCTGTCTCTGGGTTTCTCCAGACCAGGTGCAAGTCGTTTTGAGCCAGATGGCAGGCCCTGAAACCATCCTAAGGGCTGCCATACACGGACTGGTGCTTGAAGCCCTGCAGGGAGATGGGCCCCTCCCAAGAGAACTGGAGGAACTGAGGAACCTAGTACGGGCAGGTAAGCACCTCACAGTCTAGACTGCTGATGGCTCGAAGAGGGGTAGAGAGAAGAAGGACTGTGTTCCACTTGGGGACCTGACAGCTTCTGGTTCTGCACCCACCTCCAGGCCCTGAGAAAGAGAGCTGGGTCATCATCAGGGAGACACACCGAGTGTTGGACAGGCTATTCCCAAAGTTCTTGAAAGGTAACATCCTTAAGCTCCACGGCTCTTTGGCCTCTGGGGCCTTCTCCCCAGAGACCCTGCCTAGTCTGTTTCCCTGTCTGCAGTATGGGGAGGGTAGGGATACTGTCAGTATTGACAATCTGTATAATCCCAGTTGGCATTGAAGAACTGGGGGCGGGGAGGGGGGTGGGCGGCTCACAAATGACTAATGATGATCTTTCATTTAGCACCTAGTCCATTCCGGCTCTTTTCCATGTGCTAACTCAGTGAATTCTCGCTACAGCCAGATGAGGTTTTAGCCTCATTTTGTGCCAGAAACGACCCAGCAGAGGCAAGAGGAGGCTGGGCAGTACACAGAGCATGCACCTGGCCCGTGCTGCTCCTTACCACTCTCCCCAGACTCCCTAGAGCCTTCCTCCCAGCAGTCCCAGCGGCACCCTTATTATGACCTCTCCCCAGGACTGCAGGATGCAGGCTGGAAGACTGAGAAGCACCAGCTAGAGGTGGATGAGTGGAGGGCCACATGGCTTCTCTCTCCGGAAAAGAAGATCTTGTGAGCAGCCCAGATAGAGGCCCAGGTCCCAGGATAGGAGCCTGGAGCAGGCACACTTTGGCCACAGCAGGATGTGGGAACAGTGGCTTTATTTTCGTTTAGGGGAATTGCTGTGGCAGTTTGGCCAAGGCCTCATGGGCTGTAACCGCCAGTCGGATGGACAGGGGCCCCAGACAGAGACAAGGTGGAGAGAAGGGGAACCAGGGCCTACCCCCCGACTCCTGCTCCTGCCGTTCTCCCTTCTCACCACTGCAGGCTCCTCACGCCCATTCATTGTGAGGCTGAGCCCTGTCCTGGCTGTGGCTCATGGTGTCCAACAGGGTTGGCCTCAGGCATAAAAGCCCCAGAGGAACGTGGCCACAGCCATCATTAGCAGGGCATTGAAGTTGACCACACGGGCCCAGCTCGAGTCCTCGCTGATGTCCTCCAGCCGCCTGGCTGCGGCAGCCACCTCCTCCTGGGTAGGGGCAGCGGGGCTACCGGCCCCAGCCCCGCTCATTCCACAGAACCAGAGCAGGCACCTGCGGACCAGGCCTGGAGCTGGGGACTGGGGCTCTAGGAAAAATTGACACTGTACAGTTAGTTTCAGGGGACCTTGGCTCCCCTAGTCCCTAGCCCCACCTCCTGAGGTAGCGCCTTACCCTCCATGTCCACTGCATGCTCCGGACACCCATTCTGGATAGGGGGGGAGGCGGGACCTTCCAGCTCATCAGCATCCAGGTCCTCTCGCTCCTCCTTGCTGTGCCGCAGACTGAAAACCAGGCGGTGGAGCTGGGGAAGGGGGCAGGGACCAAGTGAGAGTGCTGCTCCCCCACCCGGGACCCTCAAGTCTCTTGTCTCCTGGTACTCCCTCAGCTCCCTCTGTCCACCCTGTACACACAGTTCAGACTCCGTTCACTCAAACCCGACCTTCCATGGCTGCCCTTTGCCCTCAGACTGAACCTAAGTTCTTCAACTGTGTCTTTAAAGCTCTTGGCCCCGGTCAGCCCCTGCTTCATTACCCCAAGTCCCTGTCTACACTCAAATTATAGTCCTTTAGACACTAGTCTTCTAGTCCTGCTAACAGTGTTCCTTCCTGTGGATATTTGTTCACAGAGTTTCCTCCTGCTACCTTTCCCTGCTCCTCCACCTGTGCAGCCCCGCCCATCCTGCCCAGCTCCTCTGTCCTGGCCCCAATCAGCCCTGCTCTGGGGCACCTACCCTGCAGCAGTACAAGACCAAACCCTTCTGTGGGCCTTCAGGATAGTACTCTGTCCCTCTCAGCCACCAATCAGATCTGTGGTCTGAGTCCCAGGGGCCATTCCAAGGACTTTGGGGGGCTTTCATCACCTCCCCCCCCAGTCTTCAAGCCACCTCCCCGCCCCCCGCAGAATACCTCAAATAAATGTCATTTAAATAAAACATTGTGCTTGCTTTGCGAATGCAGCTCCCAACCGGATTGCCAGTCTACCCTCATGAACCCCCAGCACAGAAATCCAGGTCCTCCGCACCGGGCATTCCTGGAAGTGGATTGGCAGGCTAGGGGGAGAGAGGGCTGCGCAGACTCCCATGGTGCACGTTTGGCGCCCATGCAGAGGCCGGCACTTACGTGCTTGCGTGGGATGGGTGCTGTGCACAGGGAGACGACGAGGGTGAGGAGGCCGGAGCAGATGAAGAGCACGATGGCGAAGTAGAGGTAGTGCATGCCGCAGAGGAGTGCTGGGCACGCCGAGGGTTGCACACAGCTGCCCGAGCCAAAGGAGAACTCAGGAATAAGTCGTGCCAGACCCATAAGCAGGCCCCCGATCAGTCCCCAGAAGGCACCCTGCCAGGGGAGAGAGTGTCCGCGTCTCCGGCATGTCCAGGTTCTGCCCCAGGCTCACCACCCACACACACACTCACCTTCTCGTTGACGCGGGGCACGAAGAGCGCCAGCACGAAGATGGCAGACACAGGTGGCGCCAGGTAGCTGGAGACGGCCTGCATGTAGTCGAAGAGCTGCCCGCCCTGCGCTGCCTGCACCACGGGCAGCCAGGCCACGGAGACCGCCACGATGAACACCACCCAGAGCCTGCAGCGGGTGACCATCCAGACATTTCACCCAGGACTCCCCGTCTGCCCCTAATCCTACGAGTGTTCCCTGCCCCCCCCCCGCCCCCCGGGGCTGATTGGTGGGGCAGGGCGTGGGGGGAAACCCAGGCCGCACCGTCCTACTAGCAGCAGCTCGCGGTCGCCTGCGCGGGGCCGCAGGCGCGTGTAGATGTCCATGGTGAAAAGCGTGCTGCTGCTGTTAAAGATGGAAGCCAGCGAGGACATGAGCGCGGCCAGCATGACGGCCAGCATGAGTCCGCGCAGACCTGCGGGCCGATGCGAGCTGTGAGTCCCGGGCCCCCGGCGTATCCCCGGGAGGGTGCGGACTTGGTGAGGGGTGACTCCTCCCAGGGGCAGTCTCCGCAGCCGGCCAGCCCTTACCGTTGGGCATGAGCTTCACAACGAGGCGCGGGTAGGCGATGTTGGAGCAGCCCACCTCGGTACCGCACACGCGCTTACACACCTCGGGCACCACGCACGCCACCTCGTCTGCGGGAAAGAGGCCACGACGTGGCTGGGACGGGACCTGGTCTGGGAACTCAGATCCCTGAAGTGGGGACGGGAAATCCTAGCGGAAGAGAGATGGGACCTCTGCTGGCAGGTGGGACTGGGTGACGGGATTTCCAAAGCAAAGGACAGCAACGGAAATGGGAAATAGGTACCGGTAGCCATACACAAGAAAGGGGCTGGATGGGGCACAGGACTCTTGGTGGGGGCGGGGTTTGCAGACGTTACCCGGATAAAGAATGCGGCTGATCATGCCTGGCATGACCATGAGGAACATGGGCATCAGCTTCAAGTAGCCACACAGTATGCAGCCCGCCTTGATGTGGGTCAGGCTCTTCCCGGCCAGACAGCGCTGCACGATGACCTGCGGCGGGGGCTCTTCAACTACCCGCGTCCAATCCTGGATACGTCGCCCTCTCAGGCCTTGCCTCTACTCCGCTGCTCTAAATCAGGCCTGCCTCTGGCTCAGCAGTGCTGCCAGTTCACCTTCATTCAGACCCAGAGTCTTTGGACTCCGCCGGGTCTGGCTTAGCTCCGTCCTGGCCGGGTTCCTGACCGCTCAGACCCGGCCTTTGAGCGCCCCCATATGGGTTCCGGTGCCACCCATCTCAGCTCCTCCCACAGCGGTTCTGGTTCTGCCCCGGCCTCCCTACCGGCCCAAGGCCTGACCCCGCACCTGGTCGCTGCACCAGTACCAGCCCGAGACGATGGTAAGACCCAGGAGCAGCGCCGGCCACGGCAGGTCCCCCGTCACAGGGTCCCGGAGCAGATGGTAGGAGTCCGGACGGGGTCGATAGCAGGAACTGGAGATGTTGCCCACCGCCGGATCCTCGGAAACCGTCAGCGACGTCATTGCCCCCAAGTATTTGTCGAAAAGCCCCGAGTACCCGCCCACCTCGTGGAAGGCTGTGAAGGCAAGGCTGTCAGGGGCCCCGGCAAGGCCCTCCCTAGGACCCACGTGCTGGAGACGCGCGATGTCTCTGCTCCCAGGTTGAGAGCTCTGTGACGCGCATCCTCTGTGCCCCTCCCCCACTGGCTGAGCTCCATACCGTAACCCATGAGGATGAAGGCCCCCCCAAGAATGACGAAGGTCTGCACGGTATCTGTGTACATCAGCGCCGCCAGCCCTCCTGCAACGGGCCTGGGTCAGTGGAGACAGCCCAAACAGGATGCCACGAGTACATACGGTGTCTTTGTGCGAATTTGACAAATGGGCCCCTTCCTGGAGAGCAAATTTCAAAGAAATGGCCCATTCTCCAGGATCATGTACCCGGGCATCAGGAGGCAGGGCTTAGCAGAATGTTGCTTCAGTGACACTCCCACCCAGCACATCTCTTGAGACCACTCCATCCCTAAGCCCCTGCCACAGCCACCTGTCACAGTGTAGATCATGGTGATGCCCAGAAGGGCGATGACAGAGGCATAGATGTTCCAGCCCAGAGCCTGTTGAATGAATACTGCCCCGGAGAACATGTCCACCTTGGGGGAAGGAGCGATAGCACGGGTCACGACCCAGGGACCCGGACAGGGACCCAGGTCTCCCTCATGCCCAGACCACGACCCTACATGGCCATGCTTCAAAGGGTCTCTTATTTTCCGATGGTCTGGCCTTCCCAGGTCCCACCCATTGTGGCCGCGGCCCCAAACCTTTTCCTTACAGACCCTGCTTCAGTCATGGGTCTTACAAGCTCTTTCCCCTTGGTCCCGCCCCCTCCAGGGTTTTCTAGAGACCTCCACTCCATGGTCCCTCCCTTCCAGGGCCCCGCCCCGCCCTCCGTGAATGCGCACCGAAATCTTGGTGAAGATGTACAGAAAAAGCGAGAGCACTGACAGGTAGAGGCGGATACGATGGCCTCCGAAGCGCTTGCGCAGGTACTGCGGCATGGTAATGACGCCCGCGGTCAGGTACACTGGTGCGAAGACCCAGCCCAGTAACAGCACCACGAACAGCGCCTGTGGGCACAGCTGACGGCTGAGGATGACTGAGAGATCCGGCTAGGAGTGAGCCCTCGCCCCTGAAGGGTGTAAGAGACCTCTTCCTGAAAGTGCTATACCAAGGAAAGAGCTCACTGGGGACCCAGAGGATGCAACTGCAGAGGATGTCCCTGGGCCCGGGATATTAAGGGACAGGGTCTTGACACCTCCTTGGGCCCTTAACTAGAGCCCTCCTAGTCCTCTCAGGCCAAGACCCCTGGCCAGTCCCTCCCAAGATGGTCCCTATCCCTTCACCCCCCAGCACATGAATCCAACCACAGACCCCTCAGCCTGACCACAGCCTCTGCCAGGAAGGGCTGCCTCCCCTCTCCTCTCCACCCAACCAAACCTTCTGTCCCTCAAGACTCAGCACAGAGACCTCCTCCTCCAGGAAGCCCTGATCTCCCCAACCCTCAAAGACAAGCCTCAGTCCCAGAGCTTTGCCTCCTTCCCACTTCTGCAAGGGGCTTTAATTTGGTCCAGGGATCTTCACAGGCCACAGCTTCAGAGAGCATTAGAACAAGCACTTCACCATCTTTGAGGCTGTTCACCCCACTTCAGAGAGGAGTAAATCAAGGCCACAGAGGGCAGTGGCTGGTCCAGGCTTACACAGCGAGTCAGGAGCAGGCCCTGAAAGTCGTCATCTCCAACATCCCCCTGCCTGCAAGCTGGATGTGTGACCCTCACTTGAGGCCCAACCACACCCCACCACTTGGAAAGTCCCGCCTCCAGTCTTACATCCCCCCACCCCGCTTGGAGCCTCCGCGGGTGTGACAGTTCTAGGGGTCCCCACCCGGGGGGGGGGTGTCAGCAAAAAGGAGGTCTCACATTCCACTCAAATCCAGCCACAGCCAAGCCGCTTGCAGCACCAGTCCCTGCCAGGCCCACAAAGTGGCCACTGCCGATGTTGCTGGCAAAGAGGGAGGCGCCGACCTAGATGGCCAGAGCGGGCGGTGAGCTAGGCTGCTTCTTCAGGCCTCCCCGCCTCCACCGCACAGCCTCTCTCACCGGCCACCACACCATGCTTCGTCCTGCCAGGAAGTAGCCGCCGACAGTGCCTCTGTTGGTTCTGCACATGGACTGAGGGACAGGAGTGGGGGAGGAGGGAGACGTGGGTTCCGAGCACATCTTTGGACCTAATTAGCCCTCTCGACACATTCCTCAGCCTTGTTTCTGGCTGAAGATTAACCAGTCCTCGGCTCTCTTGATGGTTCCCACCCAACCCCCTGCCCCAACCTCCCCTGAGGCATCTAGAGCAACCCAGGCCCTAACCTAGTGCCCAGCTACCTAAGCTTGAGTGTGGCGGGATTGCCTGACTTTTCCTGGGGCCTTGGGTAAGGATGGGCTTCTGGTCAGATACCGTGTGGACAGGGGAACAGAGACCTCATTTAGAATGCTGTCCCTGATGAAAATCCACTGATCCCTTCAACTAACCCAGTCCAAAGGTGGGAAGACAAGGAATGAGTATTGGCTGGGCCTTCCTGAGGCTATCAAAAGACTCGCTTGCCCCCCAGCCCCAGGTTTCTTCCTCAAAGATCCAGGCATCCCACCCCTACTGAACATGGGGTCTCCCTGAGACTTTCCCCCCAAGCCCCAGAAGCCTGGCCCCCAGCAGCACCCCAACTTCTCACCCACAAGCCGACACCAATGACCAGCAGGAAATAAGCAGCAATGACCAGGATGTCAGCAGAGTTGTTAATTAAAACCCTCTGGTTTCCCAGTCCCGGTACGGAGCCTGCCTCTGTGTGTTCCTCCATTCTGCCTAGGATCTGTCCCTCAAGGGACCAGCCCGTGGATTTCCTCAAGGGAGGGATTAATGGTTACCTCAGGGGCAGTGAGCCGACAAGTCCCATAGGTCTTGTCCCCCCTCACCAGCTTTGTTTAGCTGAATCAGGTCTCATCAAGGCCGAAAACTCGTCCTGTGGAGCAGACACTTTCAAGTTCAGGAGCACTCCTTCCTGGGCCTTAGCCCCCACCCCTTCCCCAGTGACCTGGGCTCAAAATTACTCCTTTCACCCATGCTTACCCTTCAGCCTTGACCTAGGGAGCGTGGCTGAGCCAGCCTCCTGGTTTTGACTAATCCAGAGGGATCATTTTCAAACCCAAATCTGACAGTGTCACTCCCCTGCTCCGAAACCCTTCCTAGCTTCCCATCATACTAAAGGAAGTAGGAGCTCTTCAGCCTCATGTTCAAGGCCTGTCATCCCCTGACTCTTGCCCACCCTTCCCCTTGCTCCTCCACACCAAACCTGGGGTGAAACCACATTTCCCTCCAACTCCTTTGCCCGGCCCAGCCCCTGTATTTTCACACACCCAAACTTTTGCCTAAGCTGTGCATTCTGCTTAGAGTGCCTCTCTGCCTCCCAGATGGCCCACTCATACCTCTCAGAGGTAACCTTCAGTACCCAGCCCATGTCAACTCTCCAGGAAAGGCTTCTCTGACTTTTCGGATACAGTTATGAGCACATTGTGTTGTCCTCATCTGGGTCCAGGTCTGCCTTCCCAACAGACTAGAGATTACCCACAAGCAGGAAGTGGCCTGATTCATCCCTGGAGTCCCATTGCTTAGCACAGGGCTGAACCGAAGAAGGGAGGGTATTGATAAGTATCAGTACCTCTGCCTTTCTAGAAGAATTGACCAGACTTGGATGTCTGATTATGACAAGTTGGGTTCATGCCTGAGATGAAAACAGAAAACAATATTTTAGGGGAATATAATTAAGGAATGCCTTAGTTTGGGTCCCTTCAAAGCAGACCCGAAGATGAGAATTGGGTGCGAGGACTTTCCTGAGGAGGCGACCCCGGGAAGGAAGTGAGACAAAGAAAGAAGAAAAGCCAATAAGGGGCATGTTGATTAAAAGGTTGCCACTATGAACAATCCCAGCGGGGCCTCTTTGAGACACTGTGGGGAACACACCTCAGAATTGACCCCTCAGAGCCAGGAAGCTGGAGTATTCATTCACCAGTTCCTGTCTCTAAGGTCACAGAACCTCGCCCTCCCGCTTCAGACCTGCTGGGTGCAGAAGCACACTTGTTCCCCCAGAGAGTACCCTCACACAGAAACTCGGGGAGCAGCTGGGGAGACCAGGTGTCTGGGAACTAACTGTCTACATATGACTTCCCAGGTGGGCCGAGTGGGTATGGGCAGCACATCCACAGCTTCTGCTTCAGGGGGTGATAAATTTGAAGTGCCTGAGAGAAATCCAGGTCCAAATGTCAGAGGATACAAGGGGGTTATAGGCCCTTAAAATCTATATGCCCTCTTTGTGACCTGCAACGCCCTTCATGACGTGGCACGTATTTCCTCTTTGACCTCATCTCCTACTACTCTCCCCTTTACTCACCCTAATCCAGCCCTACTAGCCTTCTTTCCTTTCGTTCAATATGCCAAGCTCCTTCCTACATCCTGGCCTTTGCACTTGCTGTTTCCTCTGCCCACAATGCTCTCCTCAGGCTCTTTGCCTGGCTGTTTTCTTTCCTCAACCTTCCGAGTCTCAACTTAGACGTTACATATTCACAGAGACTGACTATCTGGTTAAAAGTAATCCCTTCCTGGTGGCACCTGGGTGGCTCAGTCGTTAAGCGTCTGCCTTCGGCTCAGGTCATGATCCCAGAGTCCTGGGATCGAGCCCCGCATCGGGCTCCCCGCTCCGCGGGAGGCCTGCTTCTCCCCCTCCCCCTGCTTGTGTTCCCTCTCTCGCTGTGTCTCTCTCTGTCAAATAAATAAATAAAATCTTTAAAAAAAAAAAAAAAGTAATCCCTTCCTCACTTTCTCTAACTTAGTTCTGTTTTTTGCCCCTTTTCCCCTTCCCTCCTTTCCTTTCTTCTTCATTCCATCCTTCATTAACAAGCATTCACTGAGCACCTACCGCAGGCTAGATAGCATTCTAGACACTGGAGAGACAATGGTCAGCAAAACAAACACGTAATCTGACAGACAAATTCTCAGGAGCTTGCATTCCAGTTTGAAAAGCAGACATAAACAAGCAACAAATAAACACCTGTTTGCAATAGTGATAAGTGCTATGAGGGACTTGGGAGGTGCTTTGGATGGAAACAAGGAGGAAGAGTGACCTTTACTTAGGCCATCAGGAAAGTCTCCATTAGTTCATCACATGTGTCACTTGGTATTTGTCATCTGTCTCCCCTACTAGACTTCAGCTCCACGAGGTCAAGAAGCATGGCTGCTTGGCTCCCTATGGTCTCCCCTAGAGCCTGGCATAGTACATCCTCAATAAACACTTGGTGCAATGAATGAATCGAGACTAGAGATGGCCAACTGGGGCATCCTCAAGACAGGAAGGTGGTTACAAGCCAGGAAATAGAATTCTCCAGAGAGAATATGTGAAAGGAGAAGAGCAGGAAGCCTGAGAAGACCTAGGGAGAGGAGCCTCCAAGAGGAAAGAATCTGGGGGGTCAGGCCGAGGTGAGGACAGAGAACACCTCACCTTTGTCTTACCCACACATGCTCTCCTTGGCTACCAGCTCCTCCTCAAGCAGGAAGGGCCTCTGAGAATCCATCATTTCCAGCTTCAAAGTCTCCTACAGTTTGGACCCAGGAATCCAAGCCCTCTCCCTAGGGAACTGCAGGGTCCAAAGTGAAGGTTCGGAGGCTCAGAAAGGCTCTGGGGCTTAGGGATTCAGATGGAGCCTAAACTCCACATCTAAAAATCCGTGGCCCACCCATTTCTGTTGGGGCTTAGCTCAGGTGTCTCCTCCTCCAGGAAGACTTACTTGACTCCCAGTCTGAGTTAAAAGCCTTCTTCTGGCTCTTACAGCCCCTAGTGCTTCCTTTGGTCACTGCTCTGACCACCCCAAGTGTCATCCTCTGCTTAGGGGGGATGTTATGAGTCAATACGAGTTAGAGGGAAGCTGTGCCTTAGTGCCCAGATCCAAAGAGTGGGCACAGATTGGCACTTCTGGATGGAGCCCCATCTCTGAGGGTCTTTTCAGGAGGGGAGAAAAATGTGAAAATTAGACAAGGTGACAAGGGTGGGAGGGAGTGGGAGTGGGAGGTGGGGGTGGAGACAGATTAAGTGCTTATTTCAAGGATACAGGTTGCTGAAGAAGTGGGGAATGAGGGTGGGAAGTTTCCCTGGGGCCCAGCCTGAGCTCCTGTTCTGGTCCCCACTATCTGTACAATCCAGCGCAGGCTCATTTGACGTGTGAAGGGCAGCCTGCCAAGGCTGAGGCTGCAGGTCCCACTGCAGCCACAGGGCAGTGACCTAGAACCCGCTGCAGCCCGAGCCAGCGCAAGAGGCAGGGCATCTCCACGCAAGGCTTTCCCGAGCACTCAAGAGACACCGCACCAGCATGATGTGCCATGTGTTTTTATGTGGGTACAAAAAAAGTGCACAGAACAGTGAGGGAGCGGGGAGCAGGTCTGTCCTGGCCTGTCCTCTGATTAGGCGGAATTGCAAGGGCCCACCTCCAGTCAGGGGCCTCCCTCAAGGGTGGGGATAAAGTGAAGACCTCAGGCGGGGTTGCTTTACCGTGTACGACCCACCCGTGTGGTCTTGAAATTGGCCGGACCTTTTCTGAATTTGACCATGGAGACCTCAAGAGTGGAGTACCTCAGGGGCGGGTCTCTCCAGTGGGTGGGGCCTCACAGGGTGGGCTGGGGAGAGACCCCCCAGGCTCAAAGAGCAAGGCCCTGGGGTCTGGAGAGCACGTCTTTTGGGGAAGGGTGGGGTCACTGGGGCCTTGGGCTCTCGCAGGGCCAGGCCTCACAGGTTGATTAGCCGAAGAGCTTGACGAAGCAGGGCTGGCAGTAGGGCTTGCCCGCGCGCTCCTGGAAGGAGCCCTTGGTGAGTGGGCGCAGGCAGAAGGTGCAGGTGAAGTGGTCTGGGTGGAAGCGGCGGCCCAGGGCGGACACGCAACGGCCGGTCACGGGGAGGCCACACGTGGCGCACAACGAACCACGCCGCGCGTGGAAGTGGTTCTCGCACAGCGGGCGGCCCTCGTGCTCAAAAAAGCTGCCTCCCGAGAAGGGCGCGAAGCATTCCTGGGGGCGGGAGGCCGCGAAAGGATAGGTCAGCCGCCAACCCCCTCACCAGATAACAAGCTTTAGGAGCTTAATAACCCAACGTGGGAACCCCGCAGCCCACAGCCCCGCCCCAGACGTGAAGCCCCCTGCCCTGAATACCTGAGTAATCGCCCCGCCCCAGGCTCCTCGTTGGGCTCCGGGTTGGCCCAGCTCCCCTCCTCCCCCCACCCCCCCCCCCCCTCCCGCAGCAGCGCACCCTGCAGACGAAACAGTCCGGGTGCCAGAGTGCGCTGAGCGCCGAGATGTAGTTATCCAGAATGGGGCCTTGACAGCCCTGGCAGCGCGGGGCGAACAGCTGCAGGAAGTCCCGGCGGCAGTAGGGGCGGCCCTCTCGCTCGTGGAAACCTAGGGGCGGGAACGGAGCGGGAAGAAAAAGAGCTGCTGGCTGCACCCAGGACTTGCAAGATCTGAGACTTGCAAGATCTGGGGCCAGATGAGGGGCAGTCCGAATGAGCAGTAGAGAGGGAGGGAGGGATGGGGTCTAGGGTGGAGGCCAAGCGGGAGGGGATAGGAGGGGCCCCCGCGTGTGGGAGAGGGTGGGGCCGGAAGACTTGGGAGGTTGTAGGAGGCTGGACCACAGCGCCCGAGGCGGGATATCGCGCAGACAGGTATCTTTCAGGACTGGAGCCAAGCTCTCACCCTCATCTCCGAAGGGCTCCCCACAACTGACGCAGCAGAAATGCTCCGGGTGCCAGTGGGTGCCCAAGGCAGTAACCATCTTCTGCGGAGAATGAACGCGACACTCAGCGTGGCCCTCCATCCCTTCTACCCTC